AGCAATAAATCAAAATTGCGGTGCCATTAGTCGGGTTATGAAAACCCTTTATGTAATGGATACTTTGTTTCTCTTTAGTTTCACAGACTTATTAACCTTTTTAATACTTTTATACACTTCTTACTATCTAGTTTTGATGTTAAAAATTTGTAGAAATCATTACAAAACAGTTTTATTTCGAGAAACGTTTTTGAGCACGTTGATCTAGTACTTATTTGCACGGAGATCTACTTGTTTGCAGATGACGAGCTTTTTCAAAAAACTCGTCGACAGCCGGCATCGATCGAAGTCACCGCAGAAACAAGTGTGTTTGGCAATTTATTGTACTTCAATAATTTTTTCCATTTTCCATAATTTAAAAATGCCTATGGTATTTCAGTCTATCCAATACCAGCCTCGTTATGTCTATGCAGCAACGTTACAAGATGATCGCTATTCGCTCACCCCGCGCAGCAACGGCTCAAACGATTATGTCAGTAAATTTTTTTAATTTCGAAAACATCAGTATTCGCCAGAACCCTGTAAAAAGAAACCAGTAAATTTATGCGAAATGGCCTGCATTGCATGAGAATTGAAGCACTGACGCATCAAATCAGAAAAAATGCTGAACAAGCAGTATTTTAGCAGTAAGTACGTAATGGAAGTGGATAGGAATGAATAGTGTTGCAGGTCAAAATTATCACTTTGAAGTAAGCTTTCTATTGAGCTCTATTCAAGAGCTGATTGATTTGCGATTGAAGTTTCTGGAACAAATAACCAGCTTTTCTATTATTATTTTATATTATTATATACTATAATTTATTGAAAAACCTAAAAATGTTTCGATAGCTGTGCAAATGTTTGCTTTAATATTTCTATTACCCTCCAAAATTAATAAAAAGGACATCTTTCTCATTGTACGCTGCATAGTTCGCCAATCCAAATAAAGAATAAAGTAATCACCTAAATTGTGCTAGAAGGGCGTTTGGAAAGGTTTTGTCCTAAGCTACATTATTGAAGTAATTATCTCAGGTAATAATGAACAAAGAGATTGAAGCGAATTAGCTATTGTAACTTGCTACATAGGTGAACTGCCAGAACTTTAAGCGTGTTTCGTGATCACCATCAAGCTTCCAAATAGACCAGTGTTTAGACTGAAACACATTTGTCAAAGATCTCGGAACAGTTGAACGTTATAACAGCCACAATTAATGGAAAGCTCTAACAGCTAAAAGATGAATCCGAAAGTTTTGAAACAATAGTGCGAAGGCACAAGTCCCATCGTGTGTCCTATGAGCTCCAATAAGCGTTACGAAATGGCTCTATGCTTTCACAATTAATTGACCTAGCTGAGTCATAGAAGAATTGAGATGACGCAAAAAACACAACGTTTTCCTGCAAAGTCAATTCAAAAATACCGTTACCACCATTTTTAGTATAGTGAAATTCACCTATGTAAATGTGCTTTGTTGAAAATTTTTCGTTTTCAACCCTTTAATATTCGCATTTTCCCAAGTACGCAGAGTCTGCTGTACGAGTCAGCTGTCTCCAGTATTCTCGATTTAAGGCATGATGTTCGTCTATCCTAAGCTCTTTCAGCTCGGCTCTGATTCTGTCTATCCACTTCATCTTTGGTCCTCCTCGTCGTCTTTTTCCAGCGACCTCCAGAAACATAGCCACTCTTGTGATGTGGTTCTTATCTCTCCTACTCAAATTCCCGTACCATCGCAGTCGTTTTGCGTTTTCTTAGCGATGGGAGCAACGTTCTTCCTTGCACGAACTGTGTCGTTACAGACATGATCTAGGAGGGTGATACCCAATCTCCACCGCAGCATTCTTGTCTCCATGACACTAAGCGTGTGTTTTTTATTTCACGTACTGGGCCAACATTTGCTGCTATACAGCGTTGTGGGACGAATCACAGAAGGTATATTGGGATTTGGGTTGCACTGGCATTCGCTTGTCGCAGAGGACCCCTGTGAAGGTCCTCCATTTCATCCAAGATGCGTTTGTCCTGGCAGATATTTCGTCTTGAAGACCTCCTTCGCCAAAGATGCAACTTCCTAGGTACTTCATGGTATTCGTTTTCTTAATTGGCTTCCCATCGATAAATATGCTTTCTGAAGTTTGACTTCCCACATCCATATATTCTGTCTTCTTTGAGTTAAGCTTCACCCTATGAACCTAATTAGTCCTTCCAACTCTGTGCTTCTTCTTCAAGTTCTTCACTGTTTTCTGCCATCAACACCACATCGTTCGCCTACAGGAGAGCCCTTGGAGACTGTGGTTTCAGACCTTCCGTTACTGCATCCATTACTGTGATGAAGAATAGAGGAGAGAGCACCGATCACTGATGCACGCCGGTCTTTGTTCGAAATGGTTTTGACTGTCCTACCGGTTTGCACATGGCTCTTGGCTCCGTGATAGATCATTTTTATCCATTGAATGCATACTTCTGAAACCATGTGCTTTCGTAGTGCCATCATATGGTATCCTGGGGTATCTTGTCGAAAGCTTTCTCCATATCAAGGAAAATGCAGCTCTCTTCGTTTTTCCTATACTTCTCCATCACTATCCGTACAGTATGATGGCGTTAGCAGTACCGGTACCCTTTACAAATCCGCACTGATTGGATGGCAACTCTATGATCGCCTGAAGTCGTGTTTCAAGTACTCTTTCAAAGATCTTCAGTGTGTGGCTTATCAGCCGGATTGGCCGATAAACCACACACTGGCCGTTGAACTCCGATATCGCCTTTATTTTTCCGTCGGAATTTTTATGCCGTTTGGACAATCATGGGGATGCTTTTAGCTTTGATGACCTGATTGAAGAGGCCTGCAAGCTATGAGGCACTTAGCCATTCGCATTCTTTCCAGAATCGCTTGATATGTCATCTGGACCAGAAGCCTTGCCGTTCTTTGTCCTTGCCATAGCAATCATACTTCTTCTGCCGTTATGCGTGGTACTGGTCCTTTCACAGGGTCAGCTGGTGGGATAGCTGTGCCAATGCTCGTAGTAGACGACAACTCTTCGAAGTACCTTCGCCATCTCTCAGTTATTTCCTTTGGTCTTCTTAACGTTTTCAAGCTTACCCTTCACATCGTAGAAGTGTCTCACATCTTTTCCGGACTCTGCCCTTCCTCGCGCTATTCGGTATATATCGCGCTCTCCATCACGAGATTCCAATTTCTTATATAGCTCTTCTACGTATGCTTTCTTCGCTTTCTTGACACATGTATTTGCAGCGTGTTTCATTTTTAGGTACAACTGTCGATCGCTTTCCGATTTCGACTTATGTCATTGCTTGTAAGTCTCAATCGTTTCCTCAATCACCGTTTGAACCTCATCGTTCCACCACCAAGTTTCTTTGTCGATTCCTCCCCTTCCTGACTTCGTGCGACCAAGTAAACTTCTTGCTACCCGATGCACGTTACGCTT